ATAGGGATGAAATCGTTTAGGGATGAACGTGTTTAAGAGTTTTAAGAGTTTTTAAGAGTTTTAGCCAAATGCTTTATAATATAGTATATATATATATATATATATATATATATATAAATTTTTTATGATATCTTCAAATTTATATTTTATTCAAAAAATAAAATCATTATTGTTTTTTTAAAAACATATAATCTATACTATCTATATTATATTGTCAAATTTTTATAATATCGTCAAACATATATTTTATTCAAAAATAAAAAAATCATCGTTTTTTCAAAATCACATAAAGCCATATTATAACATCGACTGAGATAAAGAATAAAATGAAATATTAAAAACACGATGTATCTCGCTGCATTGCGCGAGTACGCTTCTAGTCCTCCCTAAAGCAGGTAATCAATAATTGATCAATAAATCCACTGAACTTACTTGCCATGGGCAGTTTCTCCAGAAAGCATGATAGCATCAGCACCTTGTCGTACCGCTATTGCAATGTCAGAAACTTCAGCTCTTGTTGGGGTTGGGTGATCAATCATGCTTTCTAGCATGTTTGTCGCTACTATAACTGGTTTCTGCATGTTTCGGCACCTACGGATGATGTCTTCCTGATTAAACAACAAACAAGTAAATTAATCAATATGGGTTTGAAAAAGTTTTTAACGAATTCAAAATGAAAAAGGTCATTGCATTGGCAGTGTGATCAAGGTTTCTCTATATGGATATATAGATATAAATCTAGAGCTAACTGTAAAAAATGGAATTTCACTCCGAAACATATCTTTAGTTCTTTAAGTTGATAAGTTCATATACAAATCCATAAACATTTTTTGTGTCCCCTCTCTGAAAACAGGATAAGCTCTTAGTTACTGACATGGATTTTTCTTCAATTTTATATTAAGTCCAATCCTAGTTGGATATTAATCCCTCCGTCTCAAAATAAGTGTCTACATTACTATTTTAGTTTGTCCCAAAATAAGTGATCACTTTCAAAAGTAAATATCTACTTTCTCATTATACCCTTTTATGAGAGGGAGAAAATTTCTCACCACAATTAAGGGTAAAATTGTCTTTTCATCAATTAAAAAGTGTAATAATTACACATTCCTAAAACTGTGTGCATTTTTCATTGTAGACATTTATTTTGGGACGGAGGGAGTAAATTTTTTTAGTGATAGGGCCAAATTGAATTGATTGTTTTAGGTGTGAACATACACCCATAAAACATTTGAGGGCCATATTTAGAATTTTCTTTATCCTCAACTTTGCAACCCAACACCATTCAACTTTGTAATCTTTAGATTTTCAACTTTTACTTTGACATACAAGTTTCAAATACCCAGTTTGATTCCTCAAACTGTTACACCTTGTTTCTCAACTACGTTTGGATTTTAATGCCATTTTTGCAGTCCTAGGAGGACTTAGTCTTCTAGCTTATCCCAGACTTGGGGCCTGTTTGTTTGCAGCTTAATGAGCTTAATAGGACTCCTATTCGGTCAGCTATATGTTGACTGTTTGATAGTGGCTTAATGATATAGAAAGTGGCTTATTCAGTAAGCTTCTAGGGAGTCGCTTTATGCAAGAAGCCAAGTTTTTACCAAGCTTGTCCTTCCCAATTAAAAAACATGCTCCTTCCAACTATGAAAAAACCCTCCTAAACAAAAACATTCCCGATCTATACAGACAAAATTAATCCACACGGACAGCTTTATCCATACAGGACTTAATGGAAAACCAACCAAACAGCCCCTTACTGTTAACTGGTTATCTAATGTGGAAAAAATATATGAATTTATAAGGACTAAACTAGACACTGGAGTAATGCTCCACTTATTTTTCTGTAGTTAACTCCATATAACAGAATCCAATAAACGTTAGTTTCGATCTCTAGCAAAGTATAACCATCACTTGTGTAATGTGGTTTATGTAAGTTTAACAAGGAACGTTCATGGTCAAACCTCGGATATTAGATCATGTTTACCTGCAATAATGGGACTTCTTCAATCGGAAGTTCTGCACCAAGGTCACCACGTGCAACCATTGCCTTGAGAAAAGGATAAATAGAGTTTAGACATGACATTTTGTAAAGTTGAAAGCTTTCAAATCATACAAAGAGAAAAATATAGGATAATATTGGTATCATAGACTCGCTCAGCCCTTGATTGGGGTGAACAGTTCTAAGTTTAAGATCATTACATAAGACACAGACACGGACCTAGAAATTTTTTCAAGTGGTGGCACCATTTGACTATAAGAAACAGATATAGGGATATTTTTCACAAAATCATCATTGCTTTGTTGGTTAGTTCATTGCTTTTCATATGTGAGCTCTTGTGTTCAAGTCTTTGATTGCAAATTTTTTTTTAGTAACATAATAAATCTCAAATTAAAAGCTAAAAACTACGAAAATGACACTAACGGTATTCGAACTCGGGTCTAGGGTGGAAAAAAGGCCTTGCAAACCAACTCTACCAAGGGAAACTTGTGTCCTCATTGTAGTTTCAAAATATATATGGTGGCACACAACAAATTGATATAGTGGCACTTTTCACGACACTATAATTTCTTTATACTACGAAGGAGGAGCGAAGCAGTGGCCCGTGCCACCACATGCACCACCTGGTTCCGTCCCTGAATGAGCAGCTGATTGCCAATCACTACATTCAGAAAGGTTTTGAAGAGAGTGGGCAATAACAATGAACAATGGGTTAAATTCATCACAATTGTTTTTATGCTGCTTTTTTTGTCTTGGTATTAAAAAATACCTCAAAGATTTGCGCAATTGCAAATTTACCCAAATGGAATCGAAGTCAAATCATAGGTTTATAAAATAATATCTGATGACCATTCCAAATATGGCGAAGGATCGTGTGAGAAGGAGAGTTAAGGTTAGAAGCGTAAGAAGGGATCTGGACCCTTGATCACCTTTAATCTCAAAACCAGCCATGAATTTCCCTTGATACGGGGATTGATCCGGTGCATCTCATCCTAATGTGCATCCAAGGGGTGGAGGTCCCTTCTTACGCTTCTCACCTTAACGCTCTTTCTCACCGGAACCTAACCCTCCAAATTTTTTGCTTTAAGGTTGACCTCATGGCAAATTAAATATTTCCCCATATTCACCTTCTAACTACACAAAACAGATATGTCCTAAATCATAATGTAAACAGAGGGAGAAAAAGAAGGATAGTAGTTAATAAAAGCTAACCCCATCAGATGCAGAAAGTATAGAAGGAAGGTTAACTATCGAGTCTGCACTTTCAATTTTTACAATCACATGGATATCAGCATTGCAACCTACAGAAGAGATTTCTGAAAACTCAGTCAAAATATACAAAATATAAAATAGTATATAATCGTACAGGAGGTTCAAGGGAAAACCCCCAAAAATGGAAAAACTAAGGGACACCCTGGTAACTGTTAATCTGGACGGTATCCACATGTGCATAAAAGTAATTGAAGTTGTTTCTTTGTTTTATGCATGTTATGCACATGTGCATACAAGTAATTGAATTTGTTTATTGGTTTTATGCATGTGTGCATGTTATGCACATGTGCTACCGGACAAATTGCTTTAAAAAAAATTATGCACATGAATGGTTACCAGGGTGTTCCTCAGTTTTTTTTTTTTTTTTTTTTTTTTGCGGTTTTCCCTGAACTGACCCTATAATCATATTAATCAAAGTAATGCTATAATTAATTATATCATGGCAACAAATAAAACGTTACTCTTCAGATAATCTTTCAGCTCGTGGACCACTTCAGCATCTTTCACAAAGGAGACAGCATAGAAATCAACTAAGTTGTCTACTCCAAACTTTATATCTTCCCAGTCTTTATCTGTAAATTAAACAAATGCAACAAGCAATAAAGGTAAGCAATAAATAGCCCTGAATGAAGAGACTACATATTCAAGCTAATAGAAAATTTTTGGATGCACATAAACCTGTTATTGAAGGCAAAGTTGCACTTTTTCCACGCACGTTGAGATGTCTCCTTGATTTCAATTCTCCACCATCAATTACTTTGCATTTTACTAAATCTTTGGTCTTAGATTGAACAGCCAAGGACATCATTCCCCCTACAAGAAAAAGAATAACTTCAAACATGATATAATAATTTATAGATATGTTATTTGTTCCTTCTTTCCTTGTGTTACAACAAGAATTTACGGATAGTATATACAAATCAATTGTATCATTCTTTACTGCAATAATTTACTGATAGGAGCTCTTGGAGACGCAAGCGAACTAAGGGTTGGATCTGAAGCTAGAGTAGACGAGAGGTAGGGAACTGGAGAGATAGAGCGTGGGAGGTAGGGTTAGGATTGTTGGTTAGAACTTAGAAGCTTGATGAGCTTAATGGACCTGGCAGCGCATTGCTCAACTATACATGATTGTTTGATAGTGGCTTATGATATAAAAATTGGCTTATTCAGTAAGCTTCTAGGGGGGTCATTATGCAGAAAGCCAAGTATGAAAAAACCCTCCCAAAGAAAAACCTTCCCAATGTATGCAGACAGATTAATCCACACAGACATCTTTATGCATACAGGACGTAATGGAAAACTAACCAAACAGACCCTTAGTAAGTTAGGCTAGGGTGCATAGTTCCCATAATTTGGTTTTGCTCGTCTTCTACCTGTTGCTAATCATATGCTATTGCTCACTCTTCACCTGCTTTTCAATTTTTTATCATATATGACTTTCTCTCTTTGTCACACTTCTCACAAGGCAAGGTCTTCAAGGAAATAGCCGCAGGTCAGGTTTGTGTACATCTTACCCTTCCCACCCCCCACCTCCAGGTGGAAAATACCGGGTTCATTTGGTTTGGGTTGGTCTGGTAGCATTCTTTGTTTCAAAGGGGATATTACAAGTAATAGAAATCATGGCACAAAAATAAGTCTCAAGGTGCCTATGTCAAAGAATAGCTTTCCCAATTAACTAAAAATGGAGCAAGCTTGCTCAATTGTTGAATGCTTACCATTTCCTTTGGTCAAGGCAATGCAATGTAAAAATGCATGCATGAGTTGATAAATGCATAGTCAAGCGTGTCGAGGGAAGTCTTACCATCAACCAATAGTATATCTCCAGGTTCGACATCATTTATAAAGTCATCATAATTTACACTAACGGTGTCTTTCATGCTGACCCCTCTTTTAATGGTGAAATTGAATTCTTGTCCCTCCTGGAGGAGAATTGGTTGAGGTACATCTCCACTCCTTACCTCAGGTCCCTGAAGCAACAGGATTTATAACTTCAGCTGTTTATGTATGAAATTTTGTGATAAAGCATTGCTCACGATATCAAATTGGTAGAAGAAGGAATATGCTTATATGTACTTTTCATCTATTGGATTGAAAAACAATTATGTGAGTCATGGCGTTGTTTAACAGCCGTTCTCGAGTCTCAGCTCCAGAGTTTGTCTTGACTTTTGTGCATTTAGGTTTTTGAATCTAAGGGGGTGTTTGGTTGGAGGTATTAAGAAGTAATTAATGGGAATGAAAATAAAAGAAAATGTTTGATTTTCTGTAATAGAACCTGTACACTCCCTAAAAGCCCAAATTTTCATTCTAGGTTAAACTAGGGGAAATGAAAATTCATTCTCATTCTCATACCCTGTCATTTTCATTTTCATTCCCCTGCCTGAACCAAACCCCCCCTAAGTTGAGAACATCAGGGTCGATTCAAAGCTTTGTTTTTCCTCTTGAGCAGTTTGGGTTTCTGAATCTATCTTTATCCAAATTCAAAAATAAAGATAATTTTTCTTTTCTTTTTTTGTTATATTTTTATTTTATGTAAGTTGGTTTTTGTTTCTGTTACTGAAGATGGAGTTGATGATATGAAGATGAAAGGGGTGAAGAGGGGTAATGGATCGGTTTGTTATAATACCATAATTTTTAGAAAGGGCAAAATGCATCAATACGCAACAAAGTTTTACTTAACTCCTATTTAGTGTAACAAAAATCTATTTGCATAATCAATGTAACGAAGCTTTAAAATTTCCTATTTTGTACCCATTTTGACTGATACGTATGGCGTGGATGCCAGGTTATCTTCCCCTTCGCCCTACTTTTTTGTAAACATTTCATAAACCTTTCCTAAACGGGTATCCACATCATCAAATGTTACAATATTGGCAGGTTACCGGTCAAAATAAGTACAAAACAGGAAACTTTGAAACTTTTTTGCATTTTGATGCATTTTTTCCTTTTTTAAAAATTACATATAGTGATATTTTTGTCCACACATGCCTTTATTTGGCCCAATTTTTTGCTTTTTTAGCGAGAATATTTTTGGTGGTTTTTGACACATATAATTGAACTTTATGGCTCATTGGAAACAACAAATTCACGGAAACAACCTCTCGATCCTAGTGATTGGGTAAGGTCACCGTGCATCCTACCCCTTCCATATCCTACTTTCAAGTGGAATTTATTGGGTATGCTTGGTTTGGTGTTGGCCCATTGGAGACAACAAATAGTTCTACGGCCTTTTGGTCATTCATCAAGAATGGCACGGTTGAGTAAATTATGGCGGTGAATTTATTCTATTTCACATCAAACTAAACTGAACCCTAAAAATAACAACAAAACAGGCATAAAGATAATGGATTCCATATAACAAAGATACCTTAGTATCCAACATTATCGCTATAACCTTTTCTTTGAATTGAGCATTGTATTCTTTGACAATATCAATGGTTTTCTGATGTGATGCATGATCCCCATGTGACATATTTAGACGTGCCACGTTCATCCCCATTTCAGCCAACTTCCATATCATTTCACGTGAGCTTGTTGAAGGACCAATCGTACACACTATTTTCGTTTTCCTCTGAGAATCTGATGAAATCTGAGCCTGCCTTGAACTGCTATCACTAGACTGAAACTCAAACAAAGAACTCAAGTCATTGTAAGTGGTTGTGAAAACTGAAAACAGAGACACAAAATGTTTTTTTCTTGGAAGGGTGTCCCAGGCTATGCCTAGACTAATCCCGGCAAATTGTGATTGCAAGAAATCAGCCCTGATAAACTCAGCGGCCACAAAATCGAACCTTGGGCAGATGGGATATTCCATCAAATCTCCCAGGGCCTCAACCTCTGCCGTTCACAATCTCCGATCAAACTATATCTGCCTAGGGCGTTGATTTGGTCTGAAATGGCCACAATCAATTTACATAATCCTGGAATCCCACCGGCAATGAAATCACATGCCAACCAACATCTACCTTCGGCGAAGAACCTCAATGGATCGTCACAAAGCTTTTACGAATCCATCAGTTCGCCTCAACAGTAACGCGTTTGGAATTCCATGTCTTTGCTAGAGTAAGTTAGTAGGTCAAAAATCATTGATTCAAAAAACGGCTTACTCTCAAGTCTCATCTACAGGCTAAGAATATACAACCATAACAATTATTGAATGATTTTCCTCTTTCTAGCATTGCTGGGATAAATACAAGTATGTAATGGATACTTTTGCCATTTTAAACTTAACCTTAGAGCATCTCCAACAGATTCTTCAAAGTGGAGAAAATGAGGATTTTGGGATTCTTGATTGGTTTTGGGCTCCAGCAGATTCTCCAAACTCCAAACTTGGAGAACTCTCTAGAAACTAACTAGAGAGAAATACTTTTTTATTATTCCACATCATTGAAATTAAATGTCTATAAGAAAGAAATAATATTGTATAACATGTATCAAATATTTTAATAATATAATCCATGTTGTAATCAAACTTTTACAATTGAATGCATATTGCTTTTTGAGATTTTGATTTTTGATTGTTGGAGATACTCTTAGTTTTACCTTTTATTCTTCATCAACTACCACTTCAATCAAAATCAATCTTAATCTTAAATCTCTTCTCTTATAAGCATAAAATGCCAAGCTTTAGAATAAGTTAACTGGTGTGCATCAATCAATTCTCAACACCGGATCGAAATCAAACACTCAAAAAAACATCCAATAAACGGCAACAACCTCTAAATTAAACGTGCAAACAGTTGCATATATTGAGCAATAAGGGACGTTAAAGGGAAAACCCAAAAAAATAAGAAAATAAGGAACACCTGGTAACCATTATGCAAGGTATACACATGTTATACAAAAAAAGTGAAGTTGTTTCTTGGTTTTTATACAAGGATGCATGTCATATGCATACCGAACAAATTGCTTACAAATTACTTTGTATGCAACTTGCTTATAAATAATTGAACGATTACCAGGTGTTCCTCTGTTTTTCATTTTATTTTTACGGCTTCCCTGAACCTGAACCAGCAATAACCATAAAAGTGGGAAAAACAATAAAGGAAGGAAGATAGCTTTACAGGAAAAATAGGACCGTTGGGAGAAAAAGCTGGTTCCTGATTCTGTTCAACGATCTTCATCGACTTAATCGGAAACAAAGACACTGATTTCCGAACACATCGTTGTTGAGGCGAACTGATGGATTCGTAAAAGCTTTGTGATGATCTTTTGGACGAAGATAGACGTCGGTCGGAATACGATTTGAATGACTGTGAGATTCCGTAATTCCGTAAATTGATTGTCTCCATTGCAGATCAAATCAACCGCCTCAGCAGATACAGGTTGATCGGAGATTTATGAACGGCGGAGAAGGTCGGAGCTTCGAACGCCGACGTGAAGCGAAGAGGACCGCAGGAAACTGGACTTTGACTGGGCCCACTCTGTTTTTCGGGAATGTTGAGGTGAAATAGGAATCATGGCCCAAAATCCAAATGCCCCAATTTTTCACATAAAATAATTGTGGTGCTTGTATTTTTTATTTTTTATTACATTTTTATAAAATATAATAAAAAAAATTAATAAAAATAATCATTTTCATACTTTGAATTCGTTTCTTAGCTATTTTTCTCCCAAATTTCAAAAATATCACTATCTCTACAAGTGGCACATCTGCAATTTGTGGAGGAATTAAAATGTAAAAAAAAAGGCTTTTCAACCTGCTCTGCAAGTAAATGAACCAAACCTGTAAATTAGATAAAGGTGGTCGCAGACTAATTTGTAGCTTTTGTCCCTGCACTTGCGGACCTTGTTCAGAAACTCTTTTTTTACATTTTGACTCTTCGGCAAATTGAGGAATTGCTACTTGTGGGGTAGTGGCATTTTTGAAATATTGAGAGAGAAATAGCTAAGAGGTGAATTTAATGTCTTAAAAATAATTATCTATACTATATTATAAAGCATTTGACTAAAACTCTTAAAAACTCTTAAAACTCTTAAAAACTCTTAAACTCATTCATCCCTATCCGATTTCATCCCATATTTGAATTCGTGTAACTAACTGCATATAAACACAATCAAATACAGGATAAACATTTCATTTTAAATATAAAAAATATAAAATATAA